TCATGACAGAAGATGAAGGAAGAGCAAAGTCACATCTTACATGGCAGCAGGCAAGAGAGCTTGTGCAGGGGAATGCCCCTTTGAAAAGCTGTCAGATCTCATGAGACTTATTCACTATAATGAGAATAGCACAGGAAAGACCTGTCCCCATGATTCAATTACATCCCACTGGATTCCTTCTATGACATATGGGAACTATGGGAGCAACACTTCAAGATGAGCTTTGGGTAGGGACACAGCCAACACCTCGCTCCTCCCAAATCACATGTCCTCACATTTCAAAACGAATCATGCCTTCCCAACAGTCCCCCAAAGCCTTAACTCATTTCAGCATTAACTCAAAAGTTCACAGTCCAAAGTCTCATCTTCCACCTATGCACTGTAAAATCAAAAGCAAGTTAGTTATTTCCTAAATACAATGGGAGTACAGGCATCGGGTAAATACAGCCATTCCAAATGGAAGAAATTGGCCAAAACCAAGGGGCTACAGGCCTCATGCAAGTTCAAAATCCAGCGGGCAGTCAAATCTTAAAGCTTCAAAATTATCTCCTTTGAGTCTATGTCTCATGTCCAGGTCAGGTGCAAGATGATGTAAGAGGCGGGTTCGTTCCCATGGTCTTGGGCAGCTCCACCCCTGTGACTTTGCAGGGTACAGCCCTCCTCCTGGCCGCTCTCATGGGCTGTTATTGAGTGTCTGTGGCTTTTCAGGCACCTGGTGTAAGCTGTGTTGGTGGATCTACCATTCTGGGATCTGGAGGACGGTGACCCTTTTCTCACAGCTCCACTAGGTAGCACCCCAGTGGGCACATTGTGTGGGGGTTCCTACCCCACATTTCCCTTCTGCATTACCCCAGCAGAGGTTCTCCATGAGGGCTCTGCCCATGCAACACACCTCTGCTTGGACATTTAGGTATTTCCAAACATCCTCTGAAATCTAGGGAGAGGTTCCCAAACCTCAATTCTTGACTTTTGTGTACCCATAGGCTCAACACCATGTGGATGCTGCCAAGGGTTGAGACTTGCGCCCTCTGAAACCATGGCCCAAGCTCTACCTTTGGCCCTTTTAGCAAAGGCTGGAGTGGAGGAGGAAAATTTATTTTTAAACAAATTTAAAAAAATTTAAATTTATTTTTAAAATAAGAAAAATTATTTTTTAACAGAGACTAAGAGTTAGGAATGAGAAAACTGGCTTAGCTGGAGGGTTTGGCTCAGGGTGTCTCATTAGGTTGCAGGAAAAATGTTCAGCCTGCAATGCAGGTCACCCCAGGTCCTGAGACTGCACAAAGCAGCAAGGCCCTGGGTTCGGCCCATGAAACCATTTTTTCCTCCTAGGCCTCCAGGCCTGTGTTTGGAGGGGCTTCCCTCAAGACCTCTGATATGCCCTGGATACAATTTCCCCATTGCCTTGGTGAACAACATATGGCTCCTCGTTACTTATGCAAATTTATGCAGCTGGTTTGAATTTCTCCTTAGAAAATGGGTTTTTCTTTTCTATCTCATCTTCAGGCTGCATATTTTTCAAACTTTTATGTACTGCTTCCCTTTTAGACGTAAGTCCCAATTCCAAATCATATTTTTGTGAATACATAAAACTGAATGATATTAACAGCACCCAAATCACCTCTTGAGGGCTTTGCCACCTAGAAATTTATTCTGCCAGATACTCTAAATCATCTCTCTCAAGTTCAAAGTTCCACAGATCTCTAGGTCAGGGTAAAATGCTGCTAGTCTCTTTGCTAAAGTACAACAAGAGTCACCTTTGTTCCAGTTCCAAACAAGTTCCTCATCTCCATCTGAGACCACCTCAGCCTGGATCTTATTGTCCATGTCACTATCAGCATTCTGGTCAAAGCCATTCAGTGAGTCTCTAGGAAGCTCCAAACTTTCCCACATCCTCCTATCTTCTGAGCCCTCCAAACTGTTCCAACCTCTGCCTGTTACCCAGTTCCAAAGTTGCTGGGAAACAGGCAAAGCGTTAAAATGCCAAAGTTCCAATAGTGATGTCAAGGTATATTAGTTCCCAATTGCTGCGTAACAAAGTACCAGCAAACTTAACAGCTTAAAACAAGAAAAATTTATTTTTTAACAAAGACTGAGAGTCAGGAATGAGAAAACTGGCTTTGCTGGAGGGTTTGGCTCAGGGTGTCTCATTAGGTTGTAGGACAGATGTCAGCCAGGGTTGCAGTCATCTGAAGGCTTGACTGGGACTAGAGGATCTTCTTCTAAGATTGCACATTCACAGACTGTTGGCAAGAAACCACAGTTTCTCACCATGTGGGCCTCTCCATAGGGCTGCTTGAGTGCCCTTATCACATAGCAACTGGCTTTGTCCAGGTGAGTGATCTAGGAGCAAGGAGAAAACTGCCTTTCATGATGCTGCCACGCTCATCATGTAACATAGCACCCCACTCTCAGTACCAATTTACTACATTAGTCTGTTCTCCTGCTGCTAATAAAAACATACTTGAGACTGGGTAATTTATAAAGGAAAGAGGTTGAATTGCCTCACAGTTCCACATGGCTGGGGAGGCCTCACATTCATGGTGGAAGATGATGAAGGAAGAGCAAAGTCATGTCTTACATGGTGGCAGGCAAGAGAGCTTGTGCAGGGAAATTCCCCTTTATAAAACCATCAGATCTTGGGAGACTTATTTACTAACATGAGACCAGCACAGGAAAGATTCACCCCTATGATTCAATTACCTCCCACTGGGTTCCTTCCATGACACATGAGAATTATGGAAGCTACAATTCAAGATGAGATTTGGGTGTGAACAGAGTCAAACCATATCACCCTCTTAAAGGATGAAGTTTCCAAGAATTTATGGACATATTTTAAAACAGCCACAGATGGTGTGTGAATTGGGGGCATTGTCTTTAGGCAGTGCCAAAGTTTATTTTTCAAAAGTTCAAAACTTGACTCTCATACAAACATATAGTGAGCATGTGTTAAAGATTTACTATTTTTCATAAGCGAGGGAATCAGCAAGATTACAAAGCTGATTATCAAAAGATAATTCAGGAAATGGAAGTTTATATAGCAAGTCAAGAAATAAAGGCTGAAATAGGTTGGCTAAGTTACGTTTTTAAAGATAGCTTTATGACTTGCAAGGCAATAAGACTGCACCCTTTGGAGTTATCTTTTCTATCAGACAGAAATAATATGTAATTTATCAATGTTCTCTTAGGTCATGGCTAATTTCACAGAGTCTGTGACCTAATTAGTAAGTCAAGCAAAGGGATAGGTCTGGAGAGAACTTATTGTTGGTGAGCCTGTTTAATAATGTTTTCATATGATATTGAAAGTGTATACAGTCACTGTTTTATTTTATTTATTTTTAATTAATTAATTAATTTTTGAGGCAGAGTCTTGCTCTAACACCCAGGCTGAAATACAGTGGCTCAATCTTGGCTCACTGCAACCTCCACCTCCCAGATTCACGCAATTCTCATGCCTCAACCTTCTGAGTAACTGGATTACAAATGTGCATCACCACGCTTGGTTAATTTTTGTATTTTTAGTAGAGATGGGGTTTTGCCATGTTGTCCAGGCTGGCCTCATTTCATCTTATTTCAACTGTCATTTCTATTTGGTTAATTTGTAATTTAATAATTTTGTACAAGACAGTTTCTACATTAATTTTTTTTTTGAAACGTGTCTATCATATCGGGCATTATGAGAATCGCATATTGTCAGAAAATAACAACTTGATATTTTATTTATTCTCGAACACTTGTAGGATGTTTTGGTTCATATGTCTGAATACCATTTCTTTAAAATTATGCTTTAATAATAAGTTATTAATAGTTATCCATGTTATTCAAGATATAATTAAGTTGTTTTTGTGCACCCTTACCTTTATTTCAGATCCATCACAGAGAATGCTTGGAGGTATTTAAACTGTGTTAACTGTTTCACAATCACATATTATCTTACCAATTATGTATTCAAGAAAGATTACTTACAGAATTATAGATGGCATGAGCTAGATTTTATTTTCTAAGGAAATAATCAGATACATGAGCAAAAATGTTAATACAAAGATGTTTGTCACAACATGGGTTTCTATAGCAAACAAGAGATAAAAATATATAAAAGACCAATAACGGTGGATAGGTTTCAATAAATAATGTCACAGTGATAAAATTAAATACTATACAGCTATTCAAGCATGCTATTATTCCTCTTTAGAATGGAAAGATATTCTGCTATTTTGCTACATGAAAAAAGAGGTTGGAAACAGTATAGGTTCTGTGAATCTATGAAAGCTGTCTATAGTTACATGCGTCATGTGTGTGGAGAAAACACTATTGTTGTTGGTTTTCTGATGATGCCCTCAGAGCCGACAAGTATTCACATTTTTCATTGTGGCTGATCTGGATTTTCAGGTTTTTCTACAATGAACATGTAGGCTGAACATTCCCAAAGCAGGAGAGTACCACTTCTAGCATCTCCTGTAGGCCTGGCAATGGCAGGCAGGAAAGACGGAGGTAGGAAGGAGAGAGAAGGGAAGGAGTGAAGGAAGGAGTGAAAAAGGTAAGGAAGAAAGGAAAGGAGGGAGGGAGGGAGGAAATGGGGAGGGAAAGAAGGAAAGGAAGAAAAGGGGGGGGGAAGAAAGGAAGGGAAGAGAGAGTGAGTGAGTGAATGCAACAGAGAGAAGGAAGAAAGGGAGGAAGGCAGGGAGGAAAGAAGGCTGTTCTTCCCTGGACCATGGGCACTGACTTTTAGGATCTGGAAGCCCCTGAGATGCAAAAGCTGAGTGCTCACAAACAGCTGGAAAGCCTCAAGGAAGTTCTTCAAAATTGCTGAAAGGAAACCGTCTCCAGAAGCTTCCCTGCCCATGACAGATAATGAGTAGCAAGTGTTTCTGGCGGCTTAGGGTGGTGCGAAATCACGCTGGGAATCCTGCTCCTCCTCAGGTCCTGGCAGTTTCAGGGCCCCTCCCTAGGCCTGACTTAAAAGGCTGAGGCATCCTTGGAGGAGCAGGCAGACTCCACAGCTTTCACCAGGAGAAAGGAGCATTCTGAGGTATGCTTTGGGGCACTGGTTGGGACTGGAGCTCTCTCCTGAATCCAGACCCAGAATCTGCTCTGTGGAGGCTGTTCACATGCTGGGGGCTCAGTGCGGCTACTCCCTACCCAGACCCTGGCCAGCTCAGCCTCTCTTTCCATGATTTTCTGTTGTTTATTCTAAAATAGGGGAGTCTACTACACCCTGCGGAGCTCAAGATGGTCCTGAGTGGGGCGCTGTGCTTCCGGTGAGTGTATGAGGCCCTGGTTTGGTGGTGTCCTCCAGGGGAAGTGAGTTCTGGGTAGGCCCATTGTCCAGCTTTGAGCAGGAGGGAAGAAGGGAGGGGCTGCCATTGCAACTGGGAAGTTGTGACCAGCAGCTCACTACTCTTAGAGAAGTTTTCCCAGCCTTTTTCAAATAGGGGCAGGACTGGGATAGGCCATCTCACCAGGGTTCCCTGATGCTGAGGGGGACAAGTGAACCACCCAGTCTAGAGCTGCAGCCAAGTCTAGCCAAGGTGAGAATGAGAGGCAGGATCCCTCTCAGAGTTCTGCCATTGCCACTCAGCATAGAGAATTGATGTCATCTCACCCACTGTGTCCCTACCTTCCCGATGCTTTTTGGAGATAATAATAAAACAAAAACCATGACCATCAGTCATCTGTCCACCTGCAGGCATGTACTAAGCCAGATACTCTGCCATGCTCTGGACTTTACAACAGGGGCTGAGAGTGGTCCTTTCCGCCAGTCTAATAAAGCACTTCCCACAATGTGTTCTATGGGACTCGATCAGAGAAGTTCCATAGAAGTGTCCAGGAGAAACTTTATACAGAGGGGCTCTCTGATCAAGTAAATGCAGGGAATGCTGCCTTCTACATCCTCTCACAAGAGAACCACAGCACAGCTCAGCATATGAGTGACTCTGAGGCTTTCTGAAATAAGGCAATTCTTTGAATTGTGTTTGGCCATGCATCGACCCAATTTTTACACTGCATCCTTTTCCTCCATGTAACATTTGGAGAAACCCACTTTAGGATACATCTTTCACCTCATAGGATGTCAGGAAATCAACTAAGTTCATAGATGAGAAACAACTTTGAAAAGTGAAATAAAAGAAATTTAAATTTAAAGAAACTCCTCATTTAGTAAGGAATAAATGGCCAAATAAAAATACATGTTTCTTGAAGAACTGAAGAATCAGACTTTAATCTGGAAGAGGCCTGGGTGTTATCCAACCCATCATCTTAGTGTAGCAATGGGGAGGCTCAGGCCCAGAGAGGGTGAGAGAGTTGTCTGCTGTGACTCAGCAGCATTTGAGGCAGAGCTGGGGGCAAAAACCTAGAGCTCTGACTCACCATGCAGCTTCTCTTCCAATAGGAGATGGGTTGAAACATAAAAGGTTGAATAGGATGAAGGAGCAAACCACAGACTCCAGTGAGAGGTTGTGGAGTCATCCCCCTGGCAGGGCATGAGGCCAGCGGGGCTGGGAGAGAAGGCTGTGCTGTTACTTCTGGCACAGTAGGAAGAAAGAGACAAAATGCCTGAGATCAGGGTGTTCTCTGGAGCCAGGGCATGCTGGAGTGTCCACCCTCCCCTAATACCGTCCTCACCCCTTCCTGATGTTTCAGAATGAAGGACTCGGCATTGAAGGTGCTTTATCTGCATAATAACCAGCTTCTAGCTGGAGGGCTGCATGCAGGGAAGGTCATTAAAGGTTGGTGACAAAACATGACCCACTTTCCTTGGTCTTTATACACTCTGAGCGGTAGGGGCCTGAAGAGGGCTTGGAATAGCCATACAGCTTAGCACAGGCATTAGGGCAGCACAAGCCAGGCTCTAAGCAAAGGCAAATAAAATACCACACCTCTCAGCAAAGTGAAGACACAGGCTCTGGGGCCACCTGAAGCTTCTATGCAGAAGAAGGAATATTTTCCAAGAGGCGTGTCTTATCATTCCCTTACAGGTAGGCTTACGTCAAGCATCTCATTCCCTAGGAGCCAGTGCCAAGGAGAGAACGAAAGCAGGATCTCTATCCCTTTTTTTCCCATATGGGAGTGGGTTTCTGCCTCTCCACCATGGGTGCCCTCTGCTCTCTGAGGATTCTCAGTCACTCAAAGTGGAAGGACCCAGAGAACAGGTGGCATTGTTGGACCTTCTGCTTGCTCACTCTGCCCCATGCATTGCAGCAGGTCCCTCTCTACAATAGTTCACGCTTGCCCACCCAGAGCACCCTTGCTGAGCACAGATGCCAGGTAGATCCTTCAACTAGGCCATAAGTGTATGGGGTATGTAGGTGTGCATGCAGGCATATATGTGTGAGCATGTGTGTGCTTGTATGTATCTCTGTGTAACCATGCATGTGTGTGTGCAGGTATGCATGTGTGAGCATATGTGTGTACATGTATTTGTGTGCATGCATGTTTCTGTGTGTGTATTTGGGTGTGTATGTAGGTGTATGATGTATGTGGGTGGTGAGGAGATGTACAGAGAGAAATGAGATCCTCTTTTGCTCTCAGCAACCTCACAGGGTGTAGAAAGTTGTTCAAACAACCCCAAAGCGGGGCTCATCAAGACAGGTTTCAGAAAAGGGGCATGAGAGCCAAAGGGCATTAAAACACGGGGTTGAACCTACCTTGGGGTGTAGAGGCTTGATGATTTGACCTTGAATTAGAGGGTGGGGTAGAGGTGGTACAATGTGCTTCTGTGCCTTGATGTCCACTCTGGGCCAGTGGAAGGGAGAGGCCATGTGATGACAGCTGCTGAGAGGCTTCCCTTCTGCCCAGCCTGGGGGCAGGCTGTCTCACAGCAGTCCTGTGCCCTAGAGCCCAGGACAGGGGAAGAAGGAGGGAAGGGAATTCAGGGCTCTGCATCTGACCTCCTTCCCACAGGTGAAGAGATCAGCGTGGTCCCCAATCGGTGGCTGGATGCCAGCCTGTCCCCCGTTATCCTGGGCATCCAGGGTGGGAGCCAGTGCCTGTCCTGTGGGGCGGGGCAGGAGCCGACTCTAACACTCGAGGTGAGACTTGGGGCATCCTCACTGGGGACTGAGCCACAGATGCTGAGCCCACTGAAGCTGGGTAGCCCACAGCCCTGGTGCTGTGGGACACCCTGGGGGGAGTCTGTTGATGGCAGCTCTGCCTCCTCCCTAAGGACCCTGCCCAGCCCTCCCTCTGCCCCCTCCTCTGCCCTCACCTGACCCGCCCTCCTCTGCCAGTAGCCAGTGAACATCATGGAGCTCTACGCCGGTGCCAAGGAATCCAAGAGCTTCACGTTCTACCGACGGGACCTGGGGCTCACCTCCAGCTTCGAATCAGCTGCCTACCCGGGCTGGTTCCTGTGCACGGTGCCTGAAGCCGACCAGCCCGTCAGACTCACCCAGCTTCTCGAGAATGCTGGCTGGGATGCCCCCATCACAGACTTCTACTTCCAGCAGTGTGACTAGGGCAACGTGACCCCCAGAACTGCCTGGGCAGAGCCAGCTCAGGCGAGGGGTGAGTGGAGGAGACCCATGGCGGACGACCACTCTCTCTGCTCTGAAGACGCTCACCTTTGACTCACTGGGCACACAGCCACCTTCTCTTCTGATTCCATGTTTGGGTAAAATCTGAGATTTGGAACTCATTCCACCATCCCTCCTTGCTGGATGGTACTACTGGTGTGGAACTTTGTAAAAACCACATGGAGTAAACTAGTAATAACATGAAAAGCTTTCTATGGGGGTGGGGTGGGAGAGTGATGGGAATCATTCCTGCTTAATGGTAACTGACCAGTGTTACCCTGAGCCCTGCAGGCCAAACCATTCCTTATAGGGTCACTATAGCTCTCCACATGAAGTCCTGTGCAGGAGAGCAAGGTGGTCATAGAGTTAGGGACCCACAGCCCTCGGCCCAGCCCCGCGCCCTTCCGTATAATCCTGCCACTGTCATATGCTTCTTTTTTTCTCTCTCTACCCCCATCCTCTCGCTGTGGGCATGAAGAGGTGGCGATATCAGAGGAAATGGCTTCAGCTCAGAAGATAGAAGATAAGCAGGGCATGCTGATCCTTTCTAAAAAATCTAAAGTACAAGAAAAATCCCAGATGCTGGTCTCTATTCCCCTGAAAAAGTGCTCATGACATATGAGAAGAGCAACTTAAAAAGTGGCATATATTGCAATTAATTTTAATTTTTTTTGAGATGGAGCTTCACTCTGTCGCCCAGGCTGAAGTGTAGTGGTATGATCTTGGCATCCTGCAACCTCTGTCTCCCACGTTCAAGCGATTCTCTTGCCTCAGCCTCCTGAGTGGCTGGGATTACAGGCAGGTTAGTAGAGATGGGGTTTCACCATGTCGGTTAGGCTGGTCTCAAACTCCTAACTTCGTGATCCACCCACCTCGGCCTCCCAAAGTGCTGAGATTACAGGTGTGAGCCACTGTGCCCCTCTATTTTAATTTTTTAAAATACCAGTTTATATATTTCTTCATAGAAAAACGTTTGGAAGAGTTTACTTCAATTGCAGCAATGTCAGGGTGGTGGCAGTATAGGTGATTTTTCTTTTTATTCTTTCAATTTTTCTGTATTTCCTAATTTTTCTACAATGAAGCTCAGTTGCTTGTATAATAATAAGAAAAGAAATTAATCTTGAGGTAAGCAGAGCAGACATCATCTCTGATTGTCCTCAGCCTCCACTTCCCCAGAGTTAAATTCAAATTGAATCAAGCTCTGCTGTTCTGGTTGGTTGTAGTAGAGACCGGGAAACAGATCTCAGCAAAGCCACTGAGGAGAAAGCTGTGATGAGTTTGTGTGGCTGGAATCTTCTGGGTTAGTAACAAAGAACCAAATCATCTGGTAATTCTTTCCTAGAAGGATCACAGCCCCTTGGATTCCAAGGCATGGGGTCCAGCCTCTAAGAGGGCTGCTGTACTAGTTGAATTCACATCCTTGTTGGAATCTCAGTCTGTGACCTTATTTGGAGACAAGGTCTTTGCAGGTGCAGTTAGTTAAGACGAGGTCATGCTAGTTGAAGGTAGACTTAAATACAATATGACTAGTGTCCTTATATAAAAAGGAGAGGACACAGAGACACAGAGGAGACATGGGGAAGAAGACTATGTAAAGACAAAGGCAGAGAATGGAGTTACGCTGCTACCAGCCAAGAAACGTCAAAGACTGTGGCAACCACCAGAAGCTTGGAAGAGGCAAAGAAAGATTCTTCCCTAGAGCCTTTGGTCTCCTGACTTCTAGCCTCCTGAACGAAGAAAGAATAAATTTCAGCTGTTTTAAGCCACCAAGGATAATGGGTTACGACAGCTCTAGACAACTAATACAGCTGCTAAAATGATCCCTGTCTCCTTGTGTTCACATCCTGTGTGTGTCTCCTCCCATAATGTACCAGAGTTGTCTGTGACCAACAGAATATGGCAGAAGTTATGGCATGCCACTTCCAAGATTAGGCTATCAAAGAGGTTGCAGCTTCTACTTGAGGTCTCTCTCTCTCTCTCTGCCTCCCACCACCCCCAATCTCTCTTGGCTCACTTGCTCTGGGGGAAGCAGCTGCCATGCTATGAGCAGCCCTATAATTAGACTTACGTGGTAAAAAATGAAGTCTCCTGCCCACAGCCACAGGAATGAACTTAGAAGCAGATCCTGCAGCCCTGTTAGGCCTTCCAGTGACTGCAGCTCAGATGACAGCTTGGCTAAAGCCTCATGAGATGCTGGAGCAGGCTGCCCAGCTGAGCTGCTCCAGATCCCTGTCCCTTAAAGACTCTGTGAGATAATAAATGTTTGTTGTTTTAAGTTGCTCAGTTTTGGTCTAACTTATTAAGCAGCAATAGATAAATAATATGCAGAGAAAGAGAAACAAATGCCTTTGTTTTATTACTGCAGTTTTCTCCAATTTTTAAATTTTCCTTCTCACAATGAACACCCTACATTTACCCAAATATTCTATTTAAAAGCTAATAATACAACATTTGTTGAATCATCTGGTTCTGCAAAGTTGAGACTTTTGTCCTCTTGTCCTATGTGCCAGAAATGGACTCCAGTATTCCCACCCAATCCCTGGGGAATGGGAGCAGAAGCTAGAGGAGGAGCCCATATCTAAGCCCCAGGTATTCCACCTGCACCTCACCTGTTGGACCAGCATGGTAGGTTCACAGTCCACTGAAGTACTAGCAAGGAATTGGCCAGGACATACAGGGCTACCTCTATGGGCCTCAGCAGCTCCAGCCCAGATTCAGCTGAAGTCCTCAGGCAACAGGCAGCACAGCTCTACCCCAGGCTTCTCAGGGCTGCCAAGAACATGAGCTCTGGGCGCCAGGCTGCGTTTCAGACCCTGTTCACACTCTTTGTCCATGGGTCCAGACACAGTCTCGTGTTGCTCCCTCTGCTTTTGGGCCCTCCATCCACCCTCTCTGCCTAGCTAAATCTCTCATTTTTCAATACCCTGCTAAGATGTCACCTCCTCTAAAAAGGCTTTACTGAGTTGAGATCCCCCAGTTATCTAATCTGGCAGCTTTATGCCAGGTCCTGCACAATGTGCCCCTGAATAGTAGTACCTTAACTTGGAGTCTGTGGCCCCTGGGATGACCTTAAGGTTAGGGCCATATAAGTTTGTCTCTCGGAACATTGCATAGTGCTTGACACATAATGGAAACCCAGTGAGTATTGAATGTGGAAACTATTTCTCCACCCTGGAATATTATCTCCCTCTCCTCCACCCATCTAAACAGGCCCACCCTTTAGGGAGCAGCTTAAATTCCATCTTGTTCTTGAAGGTTTCTCCAGCCTGAAGTTGTTGCTTCCTCATTTGTAGGATGACAGAACTCAGAGGAGCTTTAGCCAGGTTAAGCCAACACAGTCAGTAGTAAAAAGAGGAATATAAAATGCTTCCTTCAGAATGTACAGGCTGGGGGACATTGACATTATGACTATTCAAGTGAAAAAGACAGTGGCTTTAGATTTCTGCAATTTTGGTGTAAACTACTGGCCTGGGCCTATATTTACAGAGATGCAATACATCATTCAGGGTTTGTACAAATTGCAGACATTGAGGAACAGAGAATCTTCCAAGGTCAGGTCGTAGGGGAAGAGGCTAAGATGTGGGAGGTATTATCCTGACAAAAGCAAAGCACAGGGGGCTCCCTTGAAGCACCTAAAGGCTTGCCAAGTAGAAGAATATGCTTGTTCTGTGTAATTTCAGAACACACAAGTAGACCTATGGGAGCAAATTATGTGGAAGCTGTTTTTCCTGTATGACCTCCAAATATTAATCACAAGGACCACAAACATAGATAGTGCTTCTTTAAGAGGTTGCGTGGTCTCTGACCCTGGAGGTTTTGAGGCAGAGCCTAATTAACCAATTTGTTAGGGATTCCATAGCACAGATTTCTCCAATTGGAGGGAGACTATGATTCCATGTCTATGAGGTAGAGTCTTGCTCTGTCGCCAGGCTGGAGTGTAGTGGTGTAATCTTGGCACACTGCAACCTCCACCTCCCAGGTTCAAGTGATTCTCGTGTCTCAGCCTCCCTAGTAACTGGGCCTATAGGCATGTGCCACCATGCCTGGCTAATTTTTGTATTTTTAGTAGACATGAGGTCTCACCATGTTGGCCAGGCTGGTCTTGAACTCCTGACCTCAAGTGATCTGCCACTATTATCTCCAATATGCCGTTGACCCATAGCTTAGAGAGTCTGTTCTTCTTAATTATCTTTTCAAGTGTTTATTACTTAGTTCCTCAGCTATACTGTAAAACTACTTAACAACAGGGACTGTGTATTGAATGTCTTCGTCACACAGCAGTGTAAATGCTGGGTAAACACTCATTGGTTGCCTGACATAGTAACTCATGCTTTAACCCTTTCCACAGAAGGGTGAGAGATTGGGAGAGTGGAAGAAGAATGATCACTGGCCTTAGAAAGCAGAAACCTGGTCCCATTTCTGCCCATCTTTTCTCATTTCTCATCCTGTAGGCATCTGAGTCTTAAACCCACCCATCCCACTTCCTCAAGAAGCCCTTGGTGGAACTTTGCAAGTGACCCAAGAGGGAGAATTACAGCAAAGTTGTTAGTTTCCTAACATTACACCTAAGCTTCTCCACCCTTGTGATAGATGGATGGATGAATGGACAGATAGAAGGGGGGACAGAAGGCTTGCTGCATAGATGAATGGATGGGCAGATGGGTGGATGTATGGATGGATGGATGGTGAATGGATGGAAGAATGGACAGATAGGCAGACAGATGGGCAGATGGGTGGATGGGTGGGTGGATGGATGGATAGACTGAGTAAAGTGATGTCATTTAGAGACCTGAGTGTTCTTTCCTCTGCTCTGCTCACACTATCATATTTCCTAGTAGTCCATGGCACATGATGTCTGCTCAGTCCCAGGGTGAATCTGAGGTCAATATCTTTGTAGCTGGATTTCCTTAGATGTTCTGTCTCATCAAACTGGTGACAACTAATTAAACCCACTGAAAAGCAGAGACTCCTTTCTCATCTTTCCAAACAGAGCCACACTCACAGTGCTATTAGCCCGTTCTCTTACTCTGGCTGTCTGGCCCCAGGCTGGATTCAGGCATCAGAGTTTGTTCTGTCCTTGGGCTTGCCAGACATACTCTCTCTTGCATTCACGACCTCTTCAAGCCTAGGATGGAGCCCCACGGGGCACCAAAGATGTCTGACTCTAGCACTGTTTATCTGGCTTCAAAACCACTAATAACATAGTAAATTACAGTAGGTACAGAGCAGGGGCCCCGAACCTTGTTTCTGCAAAGGCTTTATGGATGACTCTCTCCCCCTTCAACAAATACTCATTAATGTTCCCACCTTCTTATTATTACTGCATCAAAGACATTGTGAAATCTCCAGGCTCTTCTTCCTTCATGTCCTGCAACCAATTATAGAGATTGCTGCAGGCTTCCCACCCTGACCAGACAGTATAAACACAGGGCAATGCCCTGAAGAAATCAGTTGGAAGTCTCCAGGGATCAGGGTTCCAGGCACCCAGGATCTGCAGGTCAGTGATGGACAGGCAGTATTTCTCTCTCTCTCTCTCTCTCTCTCTCTCTCTCTCTCTCTCTCTCTCT